ACATCACAACTCCTGACTACTGCAAACATCCGCGGTAGTCAGGACGTCCTCCTGCTGCTCTTCGGAGGCTGTAGTAGACACAGTAGTAGATAATGTAACGTGACTATTTCTCTCGATTACATTACACTCTGTTTCAACACTTTCCCCCCCTACAGTGCATTCATCTGACTCCTCCGCTCCTCCAGCTGTTGGGACCGAGTTCTCTGAGAGTTGCTGTGAGTGGCCGGGGTCTGAGGGATCAGGTCTGTTCAAGTATTTCACATCAGCACTGGAGTCACTCAGACCCTCTTCTGTTGCAAAACTGGTAAAAACCGCAGCGCTTTGTGATTGGCCACTTTCCTGGCACTCCTCACTAGCTGGCATTTCTGTTTGAGGCCTTGAGGACTCTTGCTCGTCCAACTGTGGTGAGCAGTTTTGGTTCGAGGACTCGACACACGATGATGGTGTTGGTGCGTCATCTTGAAAATCTGACGCAGCTGGTGTTACACTGTCTTCTGGAGAGCTCTCGTGCTCAGCTGGTTTGTTTGACCTTTTGTCACCTTTAAGAACAAATCAGAAAAATAACATTCAACAAATGCAGCTCCTATTTTAACTGCTGTTGACCAAGAGAGGAATAACTCCACTGAATAATCACCGTTCTGTCCCGGAGAATCAGATGGATCGGTCGAATCCACTAGCTGCGTGTTCAGGATGATGGCGTCTCTTCCCCCTGTTATCACAAAACAGTCAAAGTAAGCTTTCAGAAAAGTGGTTCACATAAACAGCTACTTAAAAAAGGTTGGATTAGATAGCGATAAGAAGTGTTGGTAGATATAAGAAGATTAAGTTGAGCGTTTATGACGTAGATGACATCGTTTTTGGAGAAACATACTTCCGCATATTCCCAGAGACACATTATAAGTCAGGCCTCCAGGTTGCAAGAAGCAGAAGGGCAGAAAAAGGAAGAGGAATTATTGTAAAAACAGTATTCTTAGCACAGGTTAGAGTGATATGCACATGTCTCAGTATATTGAGACAATTATAATAACCTGGAAGGCTCCATAATCCGGACATCTCCAGTGTTTTTAGTTTCTTCTCCAGCTCGGCTACTCGATTTCCAAGAATCCTAATGGGGGAAAAAAGGATATTGCAGTTGACCCATCATTACATCAAGAAGTGAAGTGGCTAAAAATCTACAGCCGGGGTGTCAAATAAAAGGCCTAGGGGGCAGAATCAGCCTGGCAGTCTTGGAAAATGTGAAGGAGGGCATACATTATGGACTATTAACTTCATTTTCATAAATTTTGCAGGCTTTACTAATAGCAAAGACTCAAAGGCCATTTATACTAAGAACAAAACAAAAAGTTTTCTGTGACTTAACAAAAATGTTCTGCAGAACAGTCTGGGCAACGGCACACCAGAGCTTTTTCTGTAATTTTACACATTTATTTCTTACAATTTAAGTCCACCAACTCATGCTAACAGATTTCTTTCATTTACTACAGGAGCATTTATTTATAATGCAGTTTGACACCCGTGATCTATGGAGCACATAATAAGAGTGCGAGTGAAGTCTGAATTTTAGTACTTGTTGATTTGGCGCTGGTGCTGAATCACCATGTTTTTCTCGTGGATGGTTTCCAGCAGGGCTGTGGCGAGAGATTTGAGGTCTGAGATGGACTGAGGAGTCACCGGCAAACTGCAGCCGTTTTCTTCAGACAGCAGCAGTTCCTTCACTGCAAGCACGTCACGAGCCACGGTTAAAAGAAACAGCAGTCATCATTTCCCACGAGACACTGAATAAAACTGAACTCACACATTTAAAGGGTAATATGTGCATAATAGAAAGTGTAGATGTTTGAACTAGCATGATTCCTCTGACCTTGTTTAGCAGAAAGCACCCCAGTCAGAGCACTGCTGTTGGGCTTTCCACTGATTTTAGAGGTCTTCCTACACTCCAGGGCACTCTGACATCAGCAGGAAACAGTTTGGAGAAAAGAAAGAGTTTAAAAAAAAAAGAAAAAAAAAAAAGATAACATACAATAAATATATATGAAATTACAGAAAAAAAAAAAACAACCTACAACTACCTTGTACTTCAGCAGATTTGTCTTGAGCAAGTTGACCTCTTCTTGAAGTTGATTAAGTCGCTCATGCAAATACCTGAAATGTCAGAAACCAAATGCTGTTCAGTTTAACCTGTTTCAACAGTAGAGAAGAATTTCAACTGCAACTCAGTAAATCTTTATCTAAATTCTGTATATATAGATCAAGCACAGCATTATGACCCCATTTGTCCCTAGACTCATTATTTGTCCAGCACAACCCACAGATGCTTGATTGGATTGAGATCTGAGGGAATATGGAGACCAAGTCAACACTTTAAACTTGTTGTTGTGATCCTCAAACCATTCCTGAACTATTTTTGCTTTTGTGTCAGGGTGCATCATCCTGGTGAAAGAGGCCAGAGCCTGACTATCCTTATGCTTGCGTATTTTTCCTGCTTCCAACACATCAACTCTGTGGACAAAATGTTCACTTGCTTTCTAATACGTCCCACTCACTAACAGGTACCACGATGAAGAGATAATTAGTCTTGTTCAGTTGATCTGTCAGTGGTCATAATGTCTGATCAGTGCATGTAACTATATATTGCAAGACAGCACGTGTACATGAATAGACTTTTGAAAATCACTGCTTCAACATGCCAGCCAATCACAGAGGTACTACTTAAAATGATCTTTTTAAAAGAGCAACAAACCTGTTCTCCATGCAGAGCGCGTCGATGTCTAAGATGCGGACATCATCATTCCCTACAATGTGGTTCATCTCCACATTGAGACGATGAGCCTTCTGTTGAAACACGTCCCGCTCTGCTCGAACATCCTGCAGCTCATCCGTGAGCGACTTCACGCTGTTCTCCAGCACCTCGTTCTGCACCCAAACAAGATTCAAGATGTAGAACAATTTTATCTAGCAATACAAGTCTCTTCTTGTCAAATATATATCATCTTCTCATTAAAAGTAGAACTAACTAATGCGAGGACCTCCTTGAAACTCCAAATTTTATTATTATTTCCTGAAATGAATCCATTGTTGAGGGATTTGACGTACTCAAAAAACAAATTAAACTTTGAACAACCAGCAGAATTGCTTAAAGTTGATGACACTTGTGGCTATGCATAAAAGCTTTACTAGCACCCCGTTCCTGCATTTTTGTGTTCTCTTTTCCCCATTTACAGTTGTATACTAAATAATGCCGATCCTTCAGAATCAAACTGGCTTTTTATTTGGTCAGTTTAATCAAAATGCTAAATAATGTGAATTTTGATATTTTGTCAGCCATTTCATCTATAACTCAGACGAACATCATCGGATCTCCCCCAAGCTTTACGTTATTGCTAAGAGAAGAGGTCTGCAAGCAAATATTCGGTTATAATCCTAGCGCCACCTTCTGGCAACAGGAAATCTGACCTAAGGGACAGATTCAATCCAATTTGGATGAAAGGTACATGTTGTGCTTGACATATATTTACATCTATCTAAAGTATAATTACTGGTTGTTCTGCAATGTCACATAGCAGACAGAAAGGGATATGCAACCTCGCTGCACAGCATCTAATAAGTGTCACAGCTTAAAGAAATCTAATTGCCACCAGTGTTAGCAGTGTGTTGTCTTCGTATTCATGAGCCCTCTCAAATACAGCGCCCCCTACTGGCAAAACCCCATTAGCACATGAACACCCACACATCACCACAAGCAGCTTTAATATTCACCTACATTTAAAGAAAACTGCTAATCGCTTCCATTTTTTTTCCTGCACAACACTTTTATTTCTCATGTGATATTTTAAACTATCATACTTTTTAAATCATATTCATCTGATACTGATATGGTGACCTTGTGACAGCTAAGGGTGAAAACACTGGGTTTGCTGAAATGGAAATAGGGTTCATGTGGTTGCTTTTAAAATAAATAAAAAAAAATACTTACAAATAAAATATAAATAAATATAAACTTTCTTTTTCTAATGCAAGAACCAATTAGAACTATTAAATGGCAGTATATAATGTATATAATAAATGTAAATCATAAAAAAGTGAACCATTATGTGAATATCAGCTGAATAGTCAAAATCAAGCAGGGGGCTGTCACCTGCTCTCTCGCCCTTTCTAACTGTTTGACCAGATCTTCTCGCTCATGCGCGGGAAAGTGTCGGGCGCCGACCTCTTCGTCTCCCAGCCTCTGTTTGGTGATGGTCATCCGTAGAAGCTGTGATAGCACAAAGTAAGAAAAGTCTCAACTAAGCTACAATTATACACCTTTGGTGTGTTTGTACAGTACAATTTGAAACCTGTCCTTAAAATAAACAAGGCTCATCCACTTGATCGTTACTTAGACTGACAAATAAGTGTACAAAGGTATGTTGGAAATGTATTTATGAATAATGAGAGGCAAAGATTCAGCAAATATACATTAGAAACATACCTTGTTATCGCCCTGAGCTTCCAGTAGTCGCTGTTTCAGCTCCTTCACCTCCTCGGACAGATGAGAGTTTCGCTCTCTGGAGTCTGTCAGTAGCTGGGCTAAATTCACCTGATCATGAAGCAAATACAGAGACATGTTAGCCCCATGTGTCAAGTTGGTTTGTGAATACATATACACACACACACACACACA